CTTCATTAGACTACACAAATGTCCAATGGTTTCTTTTTCCACAAGCAAATCAACAACACATAGGCACGAAACAGAAGAGGTAAATGTCAACATTTTAACATACAGTATGTCAAGTAATGGTCAACTTAGCAGAAGTTTCTTTGTGATTCAATTGATAATGAAGACAAAAAAAATCTAACTCTATCTTTTTTTATTTTTTATAGTTCACTTTCCTTGACTTTTCTTTATGTTATCTGGACCAGGAAGTAATTTTCTTTGTGTTCAAATCAAAAGTCCAAGTTTCACACCAGTTTCAGCCATCTATTAAATTGAATTGAAACAGAGGAAAATATTATAAAATACAAAGCTAAACAGAAAATACTGGAATGGCATCTTTCAGGTTTCAAATCTATATCTTGGCTTTCTGTGCAGGCCTTGTTATTCAAAGCAGCTGCCATGGCCATTCTGGGCTTCAGAAAAAACATGTGGCCCTGTTCATCTTTGGTGATTCACTCTATGATCCTGGAAATAATAACTACATAAATACCTCAAAAGGTTTACAGGCCAATTGGTTGCCATATGGTGAAACATTCTTCAGGTACCCAACTGGTAGATTTTCTAATGGGCGTTTAATCTCAGATTTCATTGGTAAGAACCATCTTGTGAGTAATATTGTTTCTTTCAGTCATTAACATCTTTGCTGCTAACTGACAGCAACTGATAATACAAACACATGATACAACTAACTATTGAATTTTATGATCATGTTTCAGCTGAGTATGCCAAGTTGCCATTTATACCAGCATATTTACAACCTGGGTTGAAAGACTATACTTATGGGGTGAACTTTGCTTCTGCTGGAGCTGGTGCTCTAGTTGAAACCTTCCAAGGATTTGTATATGCTCTGACTTATTATATGTTTTCCCTTGTTATGACTTTTAGTTACAGTTGCAGCATCTCAATATGTATTTTTGGTAATTTGCGTGCTTTTCGTTAGCATGATTTGATTATGTTATCTGTTGTTTTCAGGTGATAGACCTTAAAACTCAACGAAGTCAATTCAAGAAGGTGGAGAAGCAGTTGAGGCAGAAACTAGGTGAAGCAGAAGCCTACGCATTGCTGTCCAAAGCTGTCTACTTAATCAGCATTGGAGGCAATGACTATTTTTCCCCATTAGCAACCAATACCAGCCATGAAGAATATGTTGGTTGGGTTGTTGGCAACCTGACAAGTTGGATCAAAGTAATCTTATCTTCGTTTTGCAAACATACATAGCAGGCGAAATTTTTTAATTCGAGTTTCTTCTTTTTTCTATGACTTGTTACAATTTGTGTACAACGTTGTGTCTTCTGATTATGAATCCGGAAAGATCTTTTGGAGGAGTGATTTGATATACATTTTGTCAGGATGTATACAAGAAAGGAGGCAGGAAATTTGGATTTTCAAACTTAGGCCCTTATGCTTCTACGCCAAGCATGAGAGTGATTCAACCAGGAAACACAGGCCCTTCCCGGGAAGAAATTACAGCACTTGAGAATCTACACAACAGACTAGTTTCCAAGGTCCTCAAAAAGCTGAAGAAAGAGCTCCAAGGATTCAAATACTCAATGCTTAATCTCTACACTTACGCTAAAGAAAGAATTAATCATCCATCAAAATATGGTATGCATAGCCATCTCTTATTTGGTTTTGTCATAAGCTGATAAGTCATGTCTCCTTTTTAATATTCTTTTTCGTTATTACTGCGTTGACTCGTAAAGGTTTCAAGGAAGGAAAGGCGGCGTGCTGTGGCTCTGGTCCATATAGAGCAATTAATACCTGTGGAGGGAAGAGAGGTGTGACTGAGTATGAGTTATGTAACAATGTTACTGAGTACGTCTTCTTTGACTCTGCCCATGCAACTGAAAGGGTATACGAGCAAGTGTCCAAGTTATGGTGGAGTCATAACTTGAAGGAGCTATTTGAAGTTTAGGCAAAATATGGCTTGATATTATCATAAGAAACTGAGCAATTTGCAGACACAATTTCCGTTTTGAATTGAATTAAAAGTTTGATGGAGCCATGGGCACATGGGCAGGTGTTCAAGTTATGGGGAAGCCGTACTTCCTATGTCCCAGGGCCTTCTTTTAATTTGAAAGAGTTATTTGAAGTTCAGAAACCTATGTATTTGTTAGTTTCAATAAGCGCCTGTGAATTTGCTCAGACAATCTCTGTTTATAAATAAATTATGGTTTGATATATCATCTTTGTATTAATGTATTCACAACTCAAAAATGAATGTGATAGATGTTTTCTGGACTCCAATTCTTGACACCAAAAGAACCAAAGAATAAATTCTACTCAATCCTGTAAGGGATCTTATGGGGTGGAAGATAGAAGCAAAGCCAAGAACTAGGTGCTCTGTTAAGTAGGGAAATAGACATTATGCAAATGGTGAAGGTGGTCTATTTTGGTTGCTTGTTTCTCAATTTGCTTTGTTTTCTTTCCATAGTTCCGGAGAATTACAGGCGATCCTACTGATGTGTACAATATTCCACAGAGGTTATGGTCATAATGAGTGAATGAAATTAATAATTTGGGACAATGACCATTGTTAATTACATTTAAAAGTAGAGAGATTCAGGGACCCTTTCAGGAACCCTAAGGAACTCTCTCTAAAAAGTAGAGAGATTCAAGTTTTCTTGAACATGTTTTCTTTCCCTATAAAAACAAGGTCACTGGTGATTTTCTCTAATGGCTCATTTTGATAAACCTTCAATCATTTTAACCTCTCCAGTTGTAAAAGTTTACAGTTTGGAGACTCTATTTTTTTAACCAATATACCCTACCCTTGGTATAAAATGATCCAATAAACAGTTGCCATGATCACGTAAATCGAGGGTATTTTGGCCTAAAGATGGTCCAATTAGCCAAAATAGTAAGTTATGAGCCATTTTGTGTATAAACTCCCAATAATAAATGATTGCTGGTACCGTCTACGTCAAGCATGAAAAATATTTTATCAAGAAAATAACTCTTGGTGGATGAGAAATGGTGAAAATTTGTGTAATGACCATTGGATCCTCTTAGAAACCAGCTCTTCTCTCAATTTAAAGGTTGCAATATTTTAAACTTACAGAACTGAAACAGAGGAGAAGATTGTTGGTTTGATTGTTAGTCCTTCAAACATTATTTTCAATCATGTTTACATATTTGTGGTTAGCTCAGCAACTATGTTGGAGAGTTGGGCTACACTAACTGTGGTTTGATCATAGAAGTTAACATTCGTTTCCTTTTTGACAAGTAAATCTCCAGAACCTATTGTTAACGCAGCTTTCCTTTCCTAGCCTACACGGAAGTCAACTTCACAATCTCCTCATAGCAATTAGCCTTTTTTGCTGTAAATCGGATTGTATTCATGTTTATATTATTTCATACCTTAGACCATCTCCAACCATGTTGGGGCTAAACTCAAATTTTCACCCTCCAAAATACAACTATTCATGTATTTTCAGGACTCAAAATTTTTTTTCCTCCAACCTTGTAGACTCATAATTTGAGTCCGCAACTTTATTAAATTGTTTAAGAATGATTAACCCATAAATTTTGTTTCTTGTTAATTTTTCTTGACATTATTTTTGTTTCAACACTCGTGATTTAATTTTCTAAACATTTTAACCTAAAAAAAATAAAATTCCAAAACATAATTGAATTTCACTTAAAAAATAAAAATAAGTACAATACTATACGTATTCCCGGAATAATTCGAACTCTTCATTGAATTATGTAAGTGTGTTTAAATTATCTAAGCATTTTTAAATAAACGACAATCATTAAATTTTGCCGTTGAGATTGCTTAAAATTAATCATGATTATTGATTACAAATATAGTTGTTGGAATATTTAAAATAAAACAAAACAAAACAAAAAAAACGAAAAAAGACCAGCAATATCAGATTTTTGGCACAAAGTTGTTGCCCAAACAGTGTAACCAAAACTGGGCCCAGCAAACATTGTGCAGCACATGGGCTTCAGTCAGAAAAAAAAATAAAATAAGCAGATTTTGGGCCCAAAATTATCAGTCCAGGCAAAAATGGGACTGGAATTCCACCCAAGATTCGAGATTTCTCAAATTTCCACCCCCCAAAATACATGGGTTGAAGATGGTTTTTGGAGGCTAAACTCAAAATTTGAGTTTCCACCCCAAGGGTTGGAGATGGTCTTAAGTAGATATCATGTACTAGTATAAATAAGGACTTTGTTTAATATGTTAAATACAAGGAAATATATTCTCTACATGATATCAGCCTAACCTAGGGTTTTCTCCATCTCCCTTATTCGATCCTCTTCTCCTTTAGGTCCACCTCATGGCTTCGTCTGAATCTACCATCTCCCTCCCTAGCCCCAACTCTTCTCATTTTATCAAGCTTACTGATTCCAACTATCTCCTTTGGCTCCGCCAACTCAAACCCTTTTTAGTTGGTCATGACCTCTAGAAATTTATCGATGACACTCATAAACAACCTTATGCCCAAACCTCCACTTCTACCACCGCAACACCCACTACCACCATCACCACTCTTACCCAAACCAATCCTGCCCATGCTTAGTGGTACCAAAAAGACCAACTCATTGTTAGTTACATCACTAGTACACTTTCTAAGTCCATTCTCTCTTTCATCGTCGGCTGCACCTTTGCCCGGGATCTCTGGAAGTGTCTCTAACGCCACTTCTCTCAATCCAGTATGGCCAGTGAATCTGCTCTTCATTTTCAACTCATGGATATGCAAAAAGGCTCTCAACCCATTGATGCTTACCTTCGTCATGCTAAGTCCCTTGCCGATTCACTGGCTGCCATCAATGAACTTGACTCCCCAAAAGAACTTGTCATCGCAGTGCTCCGGGGCTTAGGACCTGGTTACAAAATGCTTGTCACGGCAGTTCTCAATTTTCCTTCGCTTCCTGACTTTGCTGATCTTCATACTTGTTTGTTAGCTTTCATCGCACAGGTTCCTCGAATCTCTCTTAATTAAAACACAGCGCTAATCGCCACCCAATCTTCTCCCCACATCGCCGGCCACACTTCCTTTAATTCCCACCGTGGTGGTTGGCGCAACTTCTCCCCTTCCTGGAGCAACTCGTGGAATGCCTCCCAACAGCCCCAATGGCCTAATCAATAGTGGCCTCCTTTTGCTCCAAGTTTTGGACCCCAACGCAACCGGCCTTCCTTTCAGCCTCATTCGGCCTAATTTGCCACTTCTAGCACACATTTTGCCTGGCCCAACTCAGCTCCTGGTGTCTTGGGACCCTACAATGGCCCAGAATCCTTTCCTTCCTTTGCTGGAGCTTAATTCATGTAGCCACCTAACTCCATTTGGTACCCTGACACAAGTGCCATTCATCACATGACTGGCAGTCCTTCTAATCTTCAAAATCAACAGCCATATCAGGGTAATAATTCTGTATTTCTTGGTAATGGAGATTCTCTCTCTATCTCTCATACTGGCTCTCTTCCTTTTCCTTTAGGTTCTCATAATTTTTCTCTTAAAAATGTCTTTTGTCTTCCCTCTCTTCGTACTAATCTACTTTCTATTGCCCGTTTTACTCGTGATAATTTAGTTTTCTTTGTCTTTACTCCCGACTTTTATCAAGTCTATGACTTATGTACTGGTTCATTACTCTTTCAGGGCCCTTCTAAAGATGGTCTTTACCCACTTTCCCTCTCCTCTCACTCATCCATCGTCCCCTATGCCCTTACCTCCATGCACTCTCCTACTTGGCATCGTCGCCTTGGCCATCCATCCCATCCTGTGCTCTCTCACTTAGCGCCATCTCTAAGCTTTAAAGTTTCTCATGCTTTCTGTAAAGATTGTGCACTTAGAAAATCCACCAAACTATCCTTTATCAGTAATACAACTTTTGCCCCTTCTCCCTTTTATTTAATTCACTCTGATGTATGGATGTCCCCGATCACTTCTGTCACTAGTTATCGTTATTATGTCTTGTTTACAGATGACTTTTCCAGCTACTCTTGGATCTATCCTATGCACTGTAAAAATGAGGTATTTTTTCACTTTCAAACCTTTCTTGTCATGGTTAAAATTCAATTTCACACAACTGTGCAAATCCGTCAGAGTGACAATGGCACTGAATATGTCCATAATTCTTTCTCTGATCTTTGCAGTCAACTAGGCATCCATAAATGTTTCTCATGTCCCCACACTCCCCAACAAAATGGCCTAGCTGAACGTAAATACAGACACATTGACACTATGATCCATACCCTCCTTACCACTTCTCAGACTCCCCACAATCCTTGGGTCGAAGCTGCCCTCACTACTATCCATCCAATAAACCTCCTACCTACTCCTAATCTTTAATGGGACACTCCATACAGTCGTCTCTTCCAACATCCTCCCTCTTACTCTCATCTCCAAGTGTTTGGGTGTTCTTGTTTCCCTTACCTTGGACCATATACTGAAGATAAACTCACCAACCGCACCCTTGAATGTGTTTTCCTTGGATACAGTTCTCACCGCAAAGGTTACCATTGTTTACATCCTTCCAAGGGTCGTGTTTACATGTCCTGTCATGTTTTATTTAACGAAATGCATTTTCCATTTGAGCATTTGCAGGCATAAGCTTCTTCAGAGTATGTGGATATTGAATTCCACCCAATTTTGCTTTCCTTCACACTTAGGCCCGTATCGATCACTCATGTCTCAGACTCAGACTCGCAACCTCACGGCACCTTCCTAGTGCACACATTTCCAACTGCTGCAGTCACAAGCCATGACTTTGGCCCCACCGAACCTTCTAGTCCACTCAATGACACTTCTTCTGCTTTATTCCAGCCATTACTCCAAGATCATTCCTGACGCCCTCGCATACAACTCTCTCAGCTTGTGCCTGCCCTAGTTCCAGCAACTCCGAACCCCCGGGTTCCAGCAGCACTGAACCCCCTGATTCCAACAGCTCTTAACCCCTAGTTATAGCAGCTCCGAACCCCCAAGTTCCAGCAACTTTGCAATCTCCTGTCCCTGTTCCTCGCATTCGCACCCACCTCCAGGATGACATTCAAAAGCCTAAGCTTCATACCGACGACACTGTCAAATATCCCCTTCCCCGTGCCTTATTAACTATTGTTAAGCATACTTGTTTTTTACAGGCCACTATACATATTGAATGGCGTGACGCCATGACTGAAGAGATCAATGCACTTCTCAAAAATCATACATGGTCTTTGGTTCCTTCCTCTCCATCTCAGAACTTGGTTGGGTGCAAGTGGGTTTTTCGGATTAAGCATCACTCTGACGGCTTCATTGAACGCTACAAAGCTCGTCTAGTTGCCAAGGGTTTTCATCAACATTCGGGCATAGACTATACTGAAACCTTCAACCCTATTATCAAGCCTACCATAATTCGCACTATTCTCAATCTTGCAATTTCTTGTGGTTGGTCCCTTCGTCAACTTGACGTCAAAAATGCATTTCTCTATGGGTTTCTTCAAGAAGATGTCTACATGTCTCAACCCCATGGTTTCATTGATCCCACTCGTCCTTCTTATGTTTGCAAGCTTCACAAAGCACTCTATGGCCTCAAAAAAGCACCTCGTGCTTGGTTCCATCACATCAGTACTTTCCTTCTCTCTATGGGCTTTACATGGAGCTAAGTTGACACTTCATTATTTATTTTTCAACAGGCATCCCATACCATCTTTCTTCTTCTATATGTCGACGGCATCGTGGTAACTGGCAATGATTCCACTCATCTCCAACAATTCATCTCTCTTTTAGGTGGTCACTTTGACATCAAAGACCTTGGTCCGCTCAACTATTTCTTGGGTTTACAGGTTCTTCATAAGGATGGTACTCTCCACATAAATCAACTCAAATATGCACATGATCTTTTACATAAAGCCAATCTTCTCAACTCCAAACCCGCATCTACTCCATTGGCTGCCAAGGTTCTCCTCTCTGTCTTTAATGGTGCTCTCATCTCCAACCCAACTGAGTATTGCAAGCTTATTGGTAGTTTAGAGTATCGCACTCTTACTTGCCCTGACATATCTTTTGCCGTCAACACTGTTGCTCAGTTCATGAGTGCCCCTCGCACCTCTCACCTTGTTGCCACCAAACGGATACTTAGGTACATCAAAGGCACTAATGATCTCAGCCTCACCTTCACTCCTCAAATTGCTGCCGCTCGCCTCTCCGCCTACTCTGATGTGGATTGGGCTGGGTGCCTCGATTCTCGTCGGTCGATCACTAGATATGTGATTACTCTTGGAACTAACCTCATCTCATGGTGTTCTAAGAAACAACCCACAATCTCGTGCTCTAGTACAGAATCGGAATATCGTGCCCTCTCTTATACTTGTGCCGAAACTACTCGGCTATGCTCCCTTCTTCATAAATTGGGTGTCCATCTTTGGTTCCCGGTCCAACTCTTTTGTGACAATCTCAACACCAGGTACATAGCTGCCAATCCAGTTTTCCATGCCCGCACATGTCACATTGAGTTGGACTATCACTTTGTCTGCGAAAAGGTTGCTCTTAGAAGTCGTCAAGTTTGCTTTGTTCCTTTTGTCGACCAACCTGCGGACCTGTTCACCAAAGCCCTTCACAAACCACGCCATCAGCATATGTCTTCCAAACTTGTGCATCCTGTGACGCCCAATTTGCGCAGCGGCAGGATGGGTGGTTGTTAACGCAGCTTTCCTTTCCTAGCTTACACGGAAGTCAACTTCACAATCTCCTCCTAGCAATTAGCCTTTCCTGCTGTAAATCGGATTTCCTACTGTAAATCGGATTGTATTATGTCTATATTATTTCCTACCTTAAATAGATATTTTGTACTAGTATAAATAGGGACTTTTGTGTAATCTGTTAAATACAAGGAAATATATTCTCTACACCTATTTATGCATTTGAAGCAAAGACAAAGTAAAGTAAACCAGATTGCTAGAATGGCAACTTCAAAGTTGCAAATATATATCCTGGCTTTTTGTACAAGCCTTCTTATTGCAAGTAGCTCTAGCCATGGCCATTCTAGGCACCATAAAAAGCATGAAGCCATGTTCATCTTTGGTGATTCAGTATTTGATGTAGGAAACAATAACTATATGAATTCTACAACTTCTTTCCAGGCAAATTTCTTGCCATATGGAGAAACCTTTTTTAGTTACCCAACTGGTAGATTTTCCGATGGCCTTCTAATCCCAGATTTCATTGGTATGGCCCTTTAAATAATATCAATGTTATGCTCTTCAAACACTAGTGATTATGCATAACTGAATGTTAACTTTCCATCAATGCTGCAGCTGAGTATGCAAAGTTGCCATATTTACCACCATATTTGCAGCATGGTTGAACAATTATACTTATGGTGACTTTTGCATCTACTGGAGCTGGTTCTCTAGCTGAAACTCATCAAGGATATGTATATGATCTTGCTTCTATATTTGCTTTCAAAAATTTGTATTTTAGGCTTGAAAAAGTAAGCTGCTTGTCTATATGCGGAGTTATCCAACAGCTAGTCACAATTACAAGGCCAATGCTGCCCTTTGGGAGCCATAGCCTGCTCAGACTTGGCCAAACATATCCGAGGAAGAACTTCTTGTTGAAATCATTGATTTTACACGAATGGTTTGATTGTGTGATTTCTTGGTTTCGGTGATAGACCTTAAAACTCAACTATGTCAGTTCAAGAAGGTGGTGAAACAGCTGAGGCACAAACTAGGCCATGCAGAGGCCAAAACATTTTTTGTCGAAAGCTGTTTACTTGATTAGCATCGGAAGCAATGATTATTTTGCACCATTCACATCAAATTCCAGTTTGTTTGAGTTCCACTGACACAAACAATATGTTGGCCTAGTCATTGGCAACCTTAAGAAAGTGATCAAAGTAATATACACTGTCTTCTTCTTCAAACATATAAAACATGGCAAACATTTTGAGTCTAGTTTCTTCTTGTTCTGAGGTTTCCTTACAGTCCATGCTACATGTTGTTGCAGGGAATATACAAGAAAGAAGGAAAGAAATTTGGGGTTGCAGGCGTGGTGTCTCTTGGTTGCTTACCAGGCACAAGAGCATATAACCCAGAAAACACAGATGCCTGTGTGAAACAAATTACAGAAACCGCGAAACTACACAGTCGACAACTTGCGAAAGCCCTCCTAAAGCTGAAGAGACAACGCCATGAATTCAAATATTCAAATCCAAATTTCTACGCTTACATAAATGAAAGAATTGAGCATCCATCAAAATTTGGTAAGGGAAAATAAAAGGCGAGCCATATAGCATCTCTTTTAGCTATTTCTAATGTTGCCTTCTTGTTGTTGTCATTTTTGTGAAGGTCTCAAGGAAGGAAAGGTGGCATGTTGTGGCTCTGGTCAATACAGAGGAATTGATAGCTGTGGAGGGAAGAAAGGTGTGACAGAGTATGAATTATGTGACAATGTTTTGACTCTGGCCATCCAACTGAAAGGGTTTACCAGCAAGTGTCCAAGTTATGGTGGAGTCATACTCGCAATGTCACAGGGCCTTACATTAATCTCAAAGAGCTGTTTGAAGTTTAGACAAAAATGTGGATTGATTAGTTTTTTTTAACCAACTTAGAATTTTGCAGACACAACTTCTGTTTCAAAATAAGTTTATGGTTTGATATATCATCTTTCTAGTATTTATGCTTTGTGTTTTTATCAAGAACAGTCAAAATTTAACCCCCAAATTCATAAGGGAGTGTATTATAATTTTTAAAAAGAAAAAAAAAGGCCAGATGGCATTGTATATTTAGTCCTTTTAAAAAGTCAAATGGAGTTTATATCCAAATTGCCAGCCTTTTAGTATTGTAGAAATGAACTCTGTAAACTCGTGGCAGGATCCCAAAAACTGTTGAATGGTTATAGTATTTGAACATTACACAATTGAAACAGAAAATAAAAATTTTGGCTTGAATATTCGTCCATCACTATTGTTTTCAATAACTTTACGTATGTTGTTAGCGCAGCAACTTTATATACATTTCAACATCTGTGGCCACTCTGTAGGACTAAAAGAAACTTCATTGGACTGCACAAATTTCCAATGGTTTCTTTTTCCACAAGCAAATCAACAAGACCTATACACCGGCATGAAACAGAGAAGAAGTAAATGTCAACATTTTAAGATACACTATTTCAAGTAAAGCTGCAGCTATTTTCTTTTCATTGGATTATGACTGGTCAACTTAGCAGAAGTTTCTTTGTGATTCAATTGATAATGAAGACAAAAAATATTTAACTGTATTCTTTTCTTTTTTAGTTCACTTTCCTTGACTTTTCTTTATGTTATCTGGATTAGGAAGTAAGGTTATCTCGAGCCATGGGCTAAACAAAATTTTGGCCAAATTTGGAGGGCTACATTTGGCCCTTTAGCCCTCCAACCGGGCCAAATGTAGTCCAGCTTTGGCCTAAGCCAAATTTGTAGTGGGGCACATCCATGTGCTTTTCAACGGCCAACATTAATATATATATATATATAGATTTTTAAAAGCCTTTTGAATGTTTCAGTTCATAGTGTTTAAGAAAAAAGTATACAAAATTGTTGGCAATGACGTTGAAGGTCAGACCTACCCACTCCCTTTTAAATAATAATAATAATAATAATAATAATAAATGTGGTCAGCTTTTCAAATATTTTCAAGTGTTGTTTAAAAACAATTATAAAAAAGTCTTGTTCATGACCATTGGAGCTCAAACATTGAAACCCATCCTTTTTTTTTGTCTTCACATTTTTAAATGTTTGGTATTGTTGAAAAAAAATTATAAAAAATTATAGGTCATGACCGTTGAAGGTCAGATCCTTGAAACCCTTCCATTTTTATTTTTAAATTTCCTTTGTTGGCTTCATTTTTTATATAAAAAAAATAGTAGTTTAATTAAATTAAACAATATATAGTTGTGGAATGTATGAGTATTGTACCATAGTTTTTCTCAAAATAATAAAATATGAAGGACCCTAAAATAGAGCCATGCATGGTTGGAGGTGGAAAAATTTAGCCCTGCACTATTCTTTAAAAAATTAATATTTTCCGGGGCTAAATTTTTAGCCATGAACTACATTTAGCCCTACGGCTGGAGATGGCCTAAATTCCTTACCTTTACTTTCTGTTCAAATCGAAAGTCCAAGTTTCACACCAGTTTCAGCCATCTATTAAATTGAATTGAAACAGAGGAAAAGATTATAAAATACAAAGCTAAACAGAAAATACCGGAATGGCATCTTTCAGGTTTCAAATCTATATCTTGGCTTTCTGTGCAGGCCTTGTTATTCAAAGCAGCTGCCATGGCCATTCTGGGCTTCAGAAAAAGCATGTAGCCCTGTTCATCTTTGGTGATTCACTCTATGATCCTGGAAATAATAACTACATAAATACCACAAAAGATTTCCAGGCCAATTGGTTGCCATATGGTGAAACATTCTTCAGGTACCCAACTGGTAGATTTTCTAATGGGCGTTTAATCTCAGACTTCATTGGTAAGAACCATCTTGTGAGTAATATTGTTTCTTTCAGTCAATTCTTCAAACATCTTTGCTGCCAACTGACAGCAACTGATAATACAAACAGATGATACAACTAACTATTAAATTTTATATTCATGTTTCAGCTGAGTATGCCAAGTTGCCATTTACACCAGCATATTTACAACCTGGGTTGAAAGACTATACTTATGGGGTGAACTTTGCTTCTGCTGGAGCTGGTGCTCTAGTTGAAACCTTTCAAGGATTTGTATATGCACTGCCTTATTATATGTTTTCCCTTGTTATGACTTTTAGTTACAGTTGCAGCATCTGAATATGTATTTTCGGTAATTCGCGTGCTTTTCGTTAGCATGATTTGATTATGTGATCTGTTGTTTTCAGGTGATAGACCTTAAAACTCAACGAAGTCAATTCAAGAAGGTGGAGAAGCAGTTGAGGCAGAAACTAGGTGAAGCAGAAGCCTACACATTGCTGTCCAAAGCTGTCTACTTAATCAGCATTGGAAGCAATGACTATTCTATCCCATTAGCCACCAATACCAGCCAGGAAGAATATGTTGGCTGGGTTATTGGCAACCTGACAAGTTGGATCGAAGTAATCTTATCTTCATTTTGCACACATACATAGCAGGAGAAAATTTTTAATTCGAGTTTCTTCTTTTTTCTATGACTTGTTAAAATTTGTGTACGACTTTGTTCGTCTGATTATGAATCCGGAAAGATCTTTTGGAGGAGTGATTTGATATACATTTTGTCAGGATGTATACAAGAAAGGAGGCAGGAAATTTGGATTTTCAAGTGTAGGCCCAATTGCTTCTACGCCAAGCATGAGAGTGATTCAACCAGGAAACACGGGCCCTTCTGGGGAGGAAGTTACAGCACTTGAGAATCTACACAATAGACTACTTTCCGAAGTCCTCACAAAACTGAAGAAAAAGCTCCAAGGATTCAAATACTCAATGCTTAATCTCTACACTTACTCTAAAGAAAGAATTAATCACCCATCAAAATATGGTATGCATAGCCATGACACCTTCTCCTTTAAGTTATAGTTTCTCTTATTTGGTTTTGTCATAAGCTGATAAGTCATGTCTCCTTTTTAATATTCTTTTTCGTTATTATTGTGTTGTAAAGGTTTCAAGGAAGGAAAGGCGGCGTGCTGTGGCTCTGGTCCATACAGAGGAATTAACAGCTGTGGAGGGAAGAGAGGTGTGACTGAGTATAAGTTATGTAACAATGTTACTGAGTACGTCTTCTTTGACTCTTCCCATCCAACTGAAAGGGTATACGAGCAAGCATCCAAGTTATGGTGGAGTCATAACTTGGAGGAGCTATTTGAAGTTTAGGCAAAATATGGCTTGATAGTTTCTTAAGAAATTGAGCAATTTGCAGACACAATTTCCGTTTTGAAGCGAATTAAAGTTTGATGTAGCCATGGGCACGTGGGCAAGTGTTCAAGTTTTAGGGGAACCATACTTCCTATGTCCCAGGGCCTTATTTTAATTTGAAAGAGTTATTTGAAGTTCAGAAACCTATGTATTTGTTAGTTTCAATAAGCGCCTGTGAATTTGCTCAGACAAGCTCTGTTTATAAATAAATTATGGTTTGATATATCATTCTTTGTATTAATGTATTCATAACTCAAAAATGGATATGATAGATGTTGTCCAAGCCGTAGTAAGCTGGATTAAACATCTGTAGAAAACTATTCTCATGTAAGATCTTGTACAGGCTCAATAAATCAAATACTAAGGACACTAATCAAAACCAAAGGCTTTTAACTTGTGTGTCTTCACCATATTTAAGTACAAGAGGATCATTGTGCTGCTCCTGTCACAGCCGCAATGCAAATGATAGACGTTCTAAACTTTAACAGCAAAAAAAAGATAGGTGTAGAGTATTGAAAAAATAAAAAGGAAAATGCTTTATTGATTAGATATAGGACTGCAAGACTTTATTAGATTTTCTGATATTCAAAACCCCAAACAACCTGATTCATAGTATTAATATTTGAGGCAAATATTCAGAAACTAATATGATTTGTGTTTATTGATTGTTAGGCGGGCGGATTGTGATGGACATCTACTCCCATCTTTCTTGTAGAATCTGAGCAACTGTTGATTATAAAGGGAGAAAAGCATGTAATCTGATTCACATATTTCTTTCTTTCCATTTTTTATTTTATATAGTCATGTGTGACCAAAACCATCATTTGCAATATATCTGTGATTGATATTGGAAAATCAACATATCTCTTTGTTTTCCCATCATAATATTCTGTTCCTTGCAAGAGAATCAACACTTGGGTAAATTTGTCCTGAAGAACAGCTGCTGCAATATACTCCTACTAGAAACCTTTGTAAATATAGGAACCAAATGAAAAAGATACTGCACAAGTTTTGCCTTACCTTAATAATGACCAGATGATGACCTGGAAGTTTACATCCCATGCCAATGTGCTGGTACAAACCAATACCTATAATTTAATACATATGCCTAATCAGTATATAGAGTAAGAAAATGATCTTTTTTATATTCTCTTTTCCTAATGTGTTTTTCAGGAAAGACTCATGCTTACTGAGGTAAAACAGAAATGCCTGAATCTTGTTGTTTGCAAAAAGCTCCTCAACCAGAGATCTATCTTTGTCATTCAGACCGGCATGGTGTAATCCAATGCCAAACTACAAGGTGTGCCTCAGGATAAAGAACCATCTGCTGGGCTTCTTCTGGCATACTAAGAAACTGCCTTGGATGTTTATCTGACCTTGCGACTTTCACACAAAAAAAATAGAATCAACGCAGCGGCCGAAACCGAAGAAAAAAAATCGAAGCTTGAGTTGAGAGAGAGGCTCAAGACCGAGTATTTGAATTTTGAAGATTGGACTGCGAGTGCAAGCTTCGTGTTCGTTTCTCTGTCTCTTCATATCACTCGTGCACCACATTCCTCTGCGAGTGCAAGCTTCGTCTGTCTTCATTTGGAGTGCAAGCTTTGTCTGTCTTCATTCCTCTGCTAGATCCGCCCAAGCCGCCTAGACGCCGCCTAGATCCGCCCAGGCCGCCTAGGAGCCGCCTAGATCCACCCAGGCCACCTAGGAGCCGCCTAGATCCTCCCAGGCCGCCTAGGCGCCGCCTAGATCCACCCAGACCGCCTAGATCCGCCCAGGCCGCCTAGGAGCCGCCTAGATCCTCCCAGGCCGCCTAGATCCGCCCAGGCCGCCTAGGCACCGCCTAACTCCCTGGCGTCAGTGTCCTCCCGCCTAGCGCCTAGGCCGATTTTTCAAACACTGCTAAAAACCTGGAACGGGCTTGCTCTGTGCTCTAGACGTTCGTAGTGACGAGTTCGAGTCCGATTCACTAGAATATTGTACAGTTATAAACTATCATGCTTTAAAGTGTTTATCGCTTGAATTTAAGAAGAAAAAAAACACAAACCTCGCTAGCTAGCTAAATATAGATAATCATTTTTCCCAAAAGCAGAATAATAAGCACGTCTGATGAACTGGTGTTTCTCCAACAACCCATTAGGATTTAGGAGCAGAACCATCCAAAGCTGAATCTCATCTTGTGGCGGTAGCCGCCCCAAACCAAAAGAAAGGAGCAAAAACGTCTCTATATATCTCTGGTGTTGCTCTTTAAACGTCAAACATAATTCCAGTAAACAAATTACTCAATTTCTTCCTGGTTTCCCGACATTTTCCCAGCAACCAAACAAGAGAAACCACAGCAAACTCGTTATTTATTTTAACGGGTTTAGCCGGCTGGCTATACCCTTGTTTATATTTAATTTTTAAAGAGTATAGCCGCACGACTATACCATTTTTATATTTATTTTTAAAAGAGTATAGCCGCTCGGCTATACATTTTTAATATTTTTTTATTTTTAAAGAATATAGCCGATCGGCTATACTCTTTTTATCATTATTTTTATTTTGAAAGAGTATCGCCGCGCGGCTATACTAATTTTTTCTTTAAAAAAAAAAGGCATATAGCCGCTATGCTATACACTTTTTTATTATTATTTTATTTTTAAAGAGTATCGTTGTCTGGCTAGACTCTTTAAATATACAATTTTGAAGATTGGACTGGGAATGCAAGCTTCGTGTTCGTTTCTCTGTCTCTTCAATTCACTCACGCACCACATTCCTTTACGAGTATAAGTTTCTTTTGTCTTCATTTAGAAGAAGAAAAAAAAAGGACATGACCCGCCCAAGTTGCCTTGAACACCACATTCATCTTTAACTATATTATGTTTTAATTATTATTTAATATAAAAAATAAAAATAAAATGTCCGCAAAATAATTTAAATTAATTCATTACTATTTATTAAGTCATTTATGAAAACAGTAACATATTTAAATATTCACCAAAGAAAACATAATTACTAATTAAAGTAATTCAAAAAGGGTAAGATATTACTTAATTACATATATTAAATTAAAGAAGTTGGCCAAAAAGACAAAAGTAAAGAAACTAATTTTATATTTTTAAAAAAAAAAAAAAAAAAAAAAAACACACACACACACCTCTCTAGATTAGACCTCTCCCAATGAAAGGTCATTGGCATAGGTCTAAACCGGCAAAATTTGTCGGATTAGAACTCTCTTGACCAGTGGCGGAGGTAGAGTTTGATATTTGGGGGGGCCACAAGCTTAAAATTATGGGATTTTTTGTGCAATCTATACTATACTCTTCATATAGTCAAAGAGGTGAGAAGATGATAGGGGGCCTAGGCCATCTCAGGCCTATGAATAGCTCCGCCCCTGCTCTTGACGAAGTCACCTCTGCCAACGAAATTTCGTCGAGGAAGGTCTAGTACAACAAATTTAGATGAGATAGACATGTGCCAAAGAGAGTTTTTTTTTATTTTTTATAAATAAATGTAAACTAAGTATGTTTAGGTTAATTAATATTTTTCCATTTTATTTTTAGTAATTAAATAATATCTTTGAAATTATTTAATTAGCTAAATTGGTAATTATATTTTAATTATTATTTCTTTAATGAATAATTAGTATTAACTATTTTAATTAACTTCATGAATTATATGACTTAATAAATAGTAATTAAAAAATTCTATTTTTTCTTTAATAAAATATTTAAATACATTAAAAATATTATATTTATAGAGTATAGCCGCGCCGCTAAACCTTTAAAATACTCAATTTATAGAGTATAGCCCCGCGGCTATACCTGTAAATATTCTATTTTGGAGTATAGCCGTGGCTATACTTTTATATATATAAAAAGGGGTTAAATGTTAAAATGGTCCTTGTGTCATAGTCATTTGGCCGATTTAGTCCCTGTGTTTTTAATTTGGCCAATTTAGTCTATGTGTTTTACTCTGTTAGCCAATATTGTCTATTCTGTTAAATTACCATTAAAAAATGGCTTAATTATGTACATGCCCCCTGTGCTTTTACGTTTTTCTCAGATTACCACCTGTGGTGGAAATCGTCTCAAAGTACCCCCCAACGTATAAATAACCGTCTCAATTTACCCCATCCGTCAAATTTCTTGACGGTCCGTTACGAATAGTGGGCCCCACTTCGTTTTAACCTTTAAGCTGTTCGAATAAGGGTTTCTCAGTTTGTAACAAAGGGGAAATTGGGTTTAGGGTTCATTGGAGAAGAGGAGAAGAGGGTTGTTGTCAAAATCTGAGGGTTCCTTCGATTTTGGGAGAAATTGGAGAAGAAATCATTCGTTGGCGTTAGACTCTAAGGCTAGAAGGTGCGAAGATGGTGGTGCTTAGAGAATCTGGAGGTTGTCAACCCATATGTAAGTGGACCCATTGTTACTCGATTTTCTTGATTTTGGCATGTGCATTGAACTGTTGTTAGGATTTTGTTTTTGTTTTTTGTATACTTTTTGACTCTGCTGGTTCTGGTGTGATCATTGTGTGGTCCTTGCATGTTCCTAGTGTGGTGTGTTGCTCGAAATTTTTTTGTTCTTTCATATATTTTTTATTCTGTGCTGGCCCCAATATACCTTATGTGGTCCTTGGGTGTTCCTTGTATTATCCTTTGTGTGGTCCTTCTTTTCTCTTTGTGTGTTTTTTTCCATTTGTTAAGTGAATGTTCCTATTACGCAGATAAAGATGCTGATGAGGTTGTCACATTTAAGTTTTTCCATGGAGGTAAACTAGTGAAAAATAGAAAGGACAGTCAGTGGTCTTATTTAGGTGGTGAAGTCCGTTGGTTTGATTACTGTGAGGTTGACTATATGTCCATGTTAGAGTTATTTGGAATGGCTAAAGATTTGGGATATGGCGATGGGTATGATGTGAGTTTTTATGGTGAAGAGTTTGGAACTAGCAGACTCATTCAAATAATATCTGATAGTACACTT